GGGGGGTCCAGCTCATCGTTTCTGTCAGATAAAGCCTGGCCCCAGCTGGGCCCGTGAGGTCAATCTAGTCCAAACCCTGGTCCTGACCCAGCCCTGCTTGGCCCCCTCCTGTATCCTCAGCACAGGCTATGCCAGGGGCCAGCATGCTGCGTGCGCCAAATGGGAATGCATCCTCAGGGTGCAGAGGTACTGACCCCATCTGGGGCAGCTGTGTGCGGCCAGTTGAGAAGGACTGGACTCTCAACACCATTGTTCGTACACGCCCTTTTAAGAGAGAAGCTAAGGATCAGGGGATATAGGAGGATTGCTCGATCCAGAGGTCAGCGCCCCTACCTACAGGCAGCTACATACCATATTGTTCTGATTATACATCGGCCTTGCATAGAAGTCGACCCCATGTTGTCAGGTCCAGTTTCAGGAAAAACCATGTTTCCCTGCTGAATAGAAGTCAGTAACTGCAAACAGAGACCTCAACTTACAAAATCCCCCAGAAAATCCAACAATGGGAGGCAGGGACCCAAAGGGTTAAACACAGCACAAACAGGATAAAAAAAGCACCTTCAGAAGCAAAGATAATTTTGCCCGAGACTCCCCAGGTTGTCTCCAGCCTCAGATTCCAGATCAAGAGGGATATTTTTAGTTAGAACAGAAATGGTTCACAGGTTTAAACAAGGACAGGTTAGGTATGGATTGTAGTCCTGGATTCAGGCTTTATGTGATGCAAGAGCCTGGGTCTAAACAGCCTTAATTTGAGGTGCTCCAAATGATGGTTTTGGAGCAATGTGGGGTTGTACATGTACCATCCTTACCTGCAGGTGACCTCCCCCAGGCAAGGCACCTTCAGCTCAGCTGTCTCTGGGGAAGGAAACGTATTGCTGGCTGCTAAATATTTTAAAGGTTTCAGTTGAGCGCAGAGGAGTGTCCAGATCAGAAGCCACCCAAGCAATAGCTGCACGGTCCTCTGCAAGACAAGCAAGCCAAAGAAAGCACTGAAGCCCAAGGGGCGGTTTCTGAACGCCTACACTTCTGACCCCTGGACAACCCTGTGGGGTTTCCTGCCCACTCGCACGACAGGTCGTTTCCTGGCTCTATGGCTCCCCTGACCTGCCCCAGAGCTGGGTCCCAGGGTCTGGAGGACTCAGGTTCCCACCAGTTTCATAGGGTTTCTGAGCTCCCATGCCAGCAGGGCTGTGGGGAGGGGGTAGTGCAAGTTACCCAGCCATTGGGGTGCTTCTCTGAGGGAGCGGAGTCTGCTACAGCCATGCCTGAGCAGATGAGCGTGCACAGCACCTGGAAAGCCCCACTGGCTGCCCCTCGAAGGTGCCATGTATTGTCCTTAACCGACCAAAAGGCCACTCAGCACGGCCCAGGGAGAGCACGAGGGTGCTGCTGGCAAGTCAGACCCACGCAAGGGAAGCAAGGGGCCCAAGCTCCCCACTGACAACAGCACTAGGAGCATGGCACCTCAGAGAAGTCAGGCTTTAAGGGACTTGGCTATAGGCAAAAAGACAGGCAGTGGCAGAGCTGGGACTGGCAACTCAGGCTCCCAACTCCCACTACCGTATTGGGCTTACTCCACGCCATGCACAGGGACATCCACCCAAGCCTGGTCATCAATCTAGCTTCTTCTCCCAGAGGTATCGGGGAGTGATTCATTCCCCTGTAAAGGAAGGTCACCCTGCTTTTAGTGACCTGTGTGGACACAGAAGACTCAAATGCAGCTAGCTCCGAGGGCGACTACACAGCAGCCTCTGCCGAGAGCAAGAGACTGGAACTGGATGCCTGGGGTGGCACTGGGCCAAATGGGCTGTCTTGAGCAAATGGAGAAGCTGGTTTGGCCCACTGGGAAGGAAGGCAGCTTGCACGTAAGCTAGAGCCCACAGTTCCCCAGTCAGCATAGGTGTGTGATACCACACTGCCACAGAAGGGCAGCTGTGGTGGCGAGCCACCCCCAGGAGCATCATGCTGCTTGACAGCTGTTAGCAAGAAGCTGTGGTTCAGCCTGCATCTCCTCTGTACAGGGAGTGGCTTTGCAGGGAGGGGGGGAGGATCTACAAAGCCAGAGCAGAGCTCTTGCAGGCAGACCTGCCACAGCTTTTACGAAGCCAGGCCTTGTAGCCTCCCCAGAACAGACCAGGACCCGCAGAAGGGGCTTTGGCACATGCTCTCAAGCCAAACAAGGAGGGAGGAAGGGCTTGAACAAGAACATCCACCACCTGGGGGGGGCAATGCCCAAACCCAGCACCAGGGCTTGGCAGATGTCAGAGGCTTAACACCTGCAGGCTTCAGGCTATTGGGGAGGTCTGGCCCCGTGATCTCCAGACACCAGGGAGCAGAGGGTAATGGCAGCGAGCAACACAAGACATACCGCAGCTCTTGACACTTACTTTCGTGGCGTGGGTGTCATCCCTTGGATAGGGCTGAGGGAAGCCACTGGGTTTGGAAGCAGGACAGCAAGCCAGGCTTTACTTGTTTATTGGTATTTGTACAGAATCAAAGGGGACGCATGCCCAAGGCGAGGCCCATCCTTACAGCAACAGGACCAAGGTACACAGCAGCCCACCCCGACAGTCAACAGGACTCGCACCTGACTCCCAGACCTGGTACCACACTCTGGAGGCCCACGAACCAGGACTCCCTGAGGAAGAAGAGCTTGATCTGCAGCTCGAGACGTCGTGCACAGAGGACGCTGCTGCTAGCCCCAGCTCATATACTGAGAAGTCAGGTCCCGTGGCTGTCCCGACAGCAGCTGTAGCCCCACAGCCTGAGGTGACTCCTCACAACAGGGCTGTCCCCAGCAGGTTAGGGCTATCTGGCTGAGCAGGAGGCCACGTGAAGGCACAGGGAGGTCCCCTTTCACCCCCCATCTTTTTTCCTTCACTTATGTCAGCAAATGTCAAATGCCCTGTGGGAGCAGAGAGCACACGATACAGGCCAGAGCTACAAAACCAGGCAGGGCCACAGAGGCAGAGCCAGGACATCCTTCAGAACGCCTTAGGGCCCAGACACTGTATGAGAAAGTCTTTAGGGATGGCAGCGACCGGCCTCCCACACTAGATGCTTCCTCTGGGGCACTAGCCAGCTCTCACTGAAGGTTATGGAGGATGCTGGAGTCTGTCAGCTGGACTCCACTGCACACGCTGGTTCTTTCAACAGGATGTCCCCTAAGAACAAAGGGCGCTGGCTCAAGTCACGTCTCCTGATGTTTCGCTGGTCGGATCGGGAGCCATCGCTGCTGCTTTTGCACCTGGACCTGCAGCAGAAAGAACAGACATGGGCATGGTCAAGGCTTACAGACTTGTTACCATGGCAACCGGTTCCCACTTAACGGGAAACGCGCGGGAGGATGAACCCAAGTGAGATGCAAGCTACCCGCCTCCCACGTGGCAGCTGCCAGCTTGGTAGCCAGCAGCCTCTGCGGGGGATCAGCACCGCTGCTGCAGGAGCAGGTAGGGCTCGGGGCGCTGGGTAAGACACCTGTTCCCTGCAACGCCCTTGCGAAGCGGGATGGCACCATGAATCCTGAGGCTCATTAGCAGGAGACCTGGCATTAAAATTCAAGGAGCCCTGGCTTTTAAGCCCAAGCTGATACCGCTTTGGGGGGTGCAGCCTGCCTCCAAGGCATGTGCTGCTGATAACAATCCAAGCTGGTTTGTCGCGTTACAGAGCAGACCTACCATTAAGACCTGCCAGACGTCACACCTTAAAAACTTTCTGACCACAAGACTTGCTGACTGCTTGAGTAGCTTACCACGGTGAGCCGGGGAGGGCAGGAAGCCAGCAGCTCCGCTGCAGGCAGATTCTACCCTGGCCCCCAACGGGGCTTAATTGGATGTGGCCTCCCAGGTCTTCATCCCACCCGAGAGTCTCATCATTCGAGACTGCCCCAAAGAGCTTCTCCTCTCCCTTCCCTCCAGCACAGGCAGCTCCAGGCCAGAATGTCTGAAATTTTTGTAACCTCGTCCCGAAGGAGAAGCAGAACGAGGCCTCAAACCATCTCAGGGTTGCTCTTGCAAGCACTACAGGAATGAACAAGGTCACAGGCAGACCCAGCCACGCTGAACGGCTTGCGGGAACCCAGAGAGCTCAGGGAAGGCACAGCCTAACACAGCCCCATCTGCGATTTAGGGACAATGAAAGGGAGCAGCCAGCTGTCCTATGCCCAAGGACGTCAAAGGTCCGAGCACGCGGTTAGCATGGGGGCAGCCTCTTCACTTTGAACCTACAAGCCGGGACACGTCGTGCCTTCCTAAAACGGCTTCCTGCTTGAACAGGGCAGCACGAAGGAGTCCTAAACAAGCAGGGCGTCATTCACTTGAAGATCAAACGATGGCAGCACAGCCAGAGAGAACGTACGGGGACGGGAAGCCTAGGAAATTAGGGTTGGAAGGGACCTCAGGAGGTCACTGAAGTCCATCTACGCGGAGGTTTTACAGCACCACGTAATTAACTCTACACAACCCAGCTTGCCTACCCGGAGAAGAGGCAGCGCAGAGGCCTCTCCTGGGATCTGAGCATTAGATATGTGCACGCTAGGATATCGGGAAATACCCGGAATAGCCACGGCAGCAGCGTGTGGAGTTTAGGACTCCACCTTGGCTGAACCTGCCCTTTCCCCCCCCTGCCAGGAGGGGCACGAAACCACAGCCTGACTTGACTGGCAGACAGAAGCCACAAGCGCTCCCCCCGCCTGGGGTTCGTGCGAAGCGATTTCTCAGAAGCAGATTGCGGTCAGGAGGCTCCAAGAGACAAAGCAGAAGGGGAAGAAGAGAGCGGAGAAGCCCTTCCCTCCCAGAGGATCTGGGCTTTCAGCTTCCTTACCAACGTGAGCTCTTCTCTTCAAACAGCGCCGCCGGGAAGCCACAGGCTGCAGATACGGAGGCGACGCGCTAAACCCGAAGGAAAAGCAACAGTTTAGACAGCGCGCGCACGCGAGCAGACGGAAATCGGGACTTCTGGCAACCCGACGAACCGAGATGGCAGGAGGGGTTTATCGCCGGGCATGTCTGAAATGTCTATAACCTTGCTCCAAACCAGCGAGCGAGCGAGCGAGCGAGCGAGCGAGCGAGCGGCGCGGAGCAAGGCCTCAAACCGTCTCAAGGTTGCTTTCGCAAGCGCTGCAGGAACGAGCGGGGTCACGCCAGACCCGGCCACGCTGGGAGGCTTGCTCGCGAGAAACCAAGCGGCATTCGGCGCCGACGCGTCCTCGGAAGCGGGTCCGGATTTTTACCTTCTCGTTAGGCCGGCGGCGCCGTTTGGTGGCACCCCGCGGGACCCAGCCCGGCTCCCGGGCGCGGAGGCGTCGCGCCGGCACCCCGGGACGTGCGGGTCTCTGCACGGAGACGATCCCTTTTTATTCCACCCGCTGAACAGCTGGGGGAATTGGTCTTTGCAAGCTCTGGGGTGCAAACGCCGTTCCCGAAAGCTTGCAAACACCCATTTTTGCACGATTTACCCCCAAAACGACCAGCTCCGTGGGGGGGCGTCCAGGCCCAGCACCTGCGCAAGGGAAAAGGCGGCTGCGTTAGGGGCTGCCCCCGCCCCGGCTCGCGGAGAGCCCCGGGGGACCTGGGCCCTCCGTGGCGTGTGACGTCACACGCCCGCTCCGCCCCCTGCGTGCCTCCAAGGGGCGGCGGCGTCCCCTAGCGGCCGGGAGGGGTCGCAGCAGCGAGTGTGCGCATGCGCGCCGCCTCTCGCCTGGCGCACGTGTGTCGCCGCCACGTGCGAAGGCGCATTGCCTTCCTTGTGCACTTGTAGCGTTTCCTCTGGCTGCTGTTAGGTCTCAGGCCCTAGCGAAGCTGGTAGCAGAGCACCTGTTTTGGGGGGTTGCTTGCCACCTATGTACACATGCACTACATATAGGGTCGTCGCGGGCCAAATTCAGTGCCACCCATCCCGCGTGGAAACACATGTCTGAGCTGCGGTAGAGTGTGTCAATGCTGAATAGGCCTCATCAGCCGTCTTCCCACGCACACATAAGACAGTTGTGGAAAACAACTGTTGTTGTCAGCGAGGACTTGCCGAAGAAGACATACAGAGTATATAGGGTGTAGCTGTGTAGGTCTCAAGGCAATAGCAATCAGAAATCTTGTGGTAGAGGAGATCTTTTATTTGACCAACTAGATAGTTGCAACAACAACAAAAAATTATTTGCAAGCTTTCGGGCTCATGCACCCTTCCTCAGGCAAAGGAGAATGCAAAGACTGTAAAATTTCTCCCAGGTAGAAATGAAACTTCATATTGCACAGGAGAAATGGAGGACGCTATAAGTTCTCCTGGGTGGAAAAGTTCATTTTATACAAATTAGGCTTGGATAAAAGTTGGAGCAGTCTATTTACCTCAGAGGTGTCTGAGGGCAAGCGAGAAGCAATTTTCTTTCAAGAAGCAATAGTCAAGATCCTGCTTGCCCTCAGACACCTTTGAGGCAAATAGACTGTCCCAACTTTTATCTGAGCGTAATTTGCATAAAATTAACTTTTGCCCCCAGGAGAAGTTGTACCATCCTCCATTTCTCCTGTGCAATATGAAGTTTCATTTCTACCGGAGAGAAATGTTACAGTCTTTGCATTCTCCTTTGCCTGAGGAAGGGTGTGTCTGCCCAAAAGCTTGCAAATAAAGACTTTTTTTTTGTTGCAACTATAGTTGGTCTAATAAAAGATATCACCTCTACCACAAGATTTCTGATTGCTTTTACAGGGTATATATGCAGCTACTGAGGTAGACAGCACATTTATCTGGTTACACAGCCTGTTCATACATGCACGTGTTTGTATATGTATAGCTGCATATACACGTACAGAGCTGCCAGCATTCCCACTTTGAGGAAGGAAGGGAGATCAGTCCAAGCAATATTTTAAACAGTTCATTGAAGTACTGAGCAAAATCTTTAGAGCATTGTGTTTTCAAAATGCCTTCAAAAACTGGAAAGGAGGGAGTCTCCTTCCTTATGAAATAAGGTCATGTCTACAGAGGGAGTTTGCCCCAGATCCAGTTGCTGGTGCCCAACCCAAGCAAGCAGCAAGTGTAGACAGGCCACGCTGAAGTACATGTGAGTGCAGTTTACCTTCATATCAAACTGCCCTGGTGCACACAGTAGGGCATGGTCATTATTCCAGCTAGGCTGGGCTGCTCACAGCTGTTTTCTGTCCTGTAAAAGAGCTAAAGAAAAGATTTATCAACATAATACACTGCATAGAAGGGTATCTGCCACGTGTTGTTCTGGAGAGCCTGTTCCTAATTATAGTTCTAATTATGTCAAGTTAGGCACGTGCTTGTTTCTGCAGTATTATAACGCTGCAGTTAGATTCTGTTACATTCAAAATCTCTGGTTTTGCCCCTTTTGGAATACTGCTAAACTCCTGGTCAAAACCTATGGAATTGGCTTAAAAAATTGTTGCATTCAAAATGTAGGGTTGTTTTTTTTTTCAGTTTTCAGGGTCGTCCATGGTTCCAAACTTTTTTTTTCCATTGTGGGATTATCTTAAACACTCTCTCATAAGCATGCACCCCCAGGAATTGGGGCATTAAAAACATTATACTGTTGGTTCCATAAAATATATTACCCTAAGAAATACTTGCATGGTGTAATTTCTGGGCCATTGTGGCTACCACATTTCTCTTACACTACTGGCATTGAAAGTGACAGCGGATATTGTGAGATTTGTAGTGACATTGCATAATTTGACATTGCATAATTAGGCAGCACTCTGCAGGTAGCTTTGACTTTGAGAATTGGTAAGCCCTGCAAGCCAGCAAAGGTACCTTTCAAGACGGAAGCAGTTTTTCTGCAAACTGATTCATTAGAAAATCAATTAAAAAATGGCCTGTACACCTCCCTTAGGAAGTCATTATGCTGCTGAGCCGGGCAGCAGCTTCTTGTTGGCTGTATTCATTGTCATCAGACCACTACTGAGTCAGGACGGAGGGCACGTGTCAACGATGTGTGTTACTGGCTGTAACTGTCCACAGCTGCGCTGGGGGATTTCAGTTTCTTGCCTTCTCTGGAGGTAGTCTGTGCATAGACCTCTGCTAGTCCATAACTTATTGAGCAGGGCTCATTGCAGAGCTGTAGGTTGAAATCAGGAGGATGAACAAGGCAGGATTGGTGATAAGCTTGAGAAGTAATGAACTGTTTGTTACTAGGCTGTGCTTGGCTTGTTCTGGTCAGACCTGATGAATCACAGTCATTGAAAATTAGGGTTGAAGAGAGCTCAGGAGGTCACATCTAGTCCAACCCCTGCTCCAAGCAGGACCAGCCCCAACTACATCATCCCAGTCAAGGCTTTGTCTAGCCGGGTCTTCAAAACTTCCAAGGATGGAGAGTCCACCACCTCTCTGGGTAACCTGTTCCAGGGCTTTACTACCCTCCTTTGGTGAAAGTTTTTTCCTAATATAGTATCCAACCTCAACTTCCCCTGCTGCAACTTGAGCCCATTGCTCCTTGTTCTGTCATCTGCTACTACTGAGAACAGCCCAGCTCCATCCTCTTTGCAGCCCCCCTGCAGGGAGGTGAAGGCTGCTATTCAATCCCCCTTGGTCTTCTCTTCTCCAGACTAAATAAGCCCATTTCCTCAGCCTCTCCTCACCAGTCATGTCTCCCAGCCCCGCAACCATTTTCATTGCCCTCCATTAGACTCTCTCCAATGTGTCCACATCCTTTCTGTAGTGGGGGGCCCAAAACTGGACATGGGACCCCAGAAGTGGCTTCACCAGTGCCAAACAGAAGAATGTCTTTCATTCAAAAGCTTCTCTTAGAATTCATAGATTTCATAGACATTGGGGCAGAAGAGACCTCGAAGATCATCAAGCCCAGCCCCCTACCCCAGGGGCAGGAAGTCAGCTAGGGTCAAAGGATCCCAGCAAGATAAGCATCTGAACGTTTCTTGAATGAGTCCAGAGTAGGTGCCTGCACCACATCTGGAGGGAGTCTATTCCAAGTCTTGGGGGCTCGGACCGTAAAGAAATTGTTTCTTACATCCAGCCTAAAATGATCCTGTAGGAAGTTATGACCATTGGTCCTTGTTTTTCCTTAGGGCGCTTTGGTGAACAGACGTTCTCCCAGATCCTGATGCACACCCCTTATGTACTTATAAGCAGCTACCAGGTCCCCCCTGAGCCTGCGCTTTTCTAGGCTGATTCCTTCTAAACTCTTCATTCCGCAGGTGTTAACAACCCTCTCTTCTTTTAATAGCCTTGATGTTTCACCCATCAAGCCATCCTTTGTTCTGCAATTCTGCTGTCCGTTGGCTGCTCCTGATGACGAAGATCCTATTTCACAGCCCTGTAGATTGTTTTGAGCTCATTCCCAGGAAGATACATTTGGTTTTGCTTCAGTCTTAAACTGAATCACACAGCCATCGGCCACTGGCATATTAGTAAAGCTTCTAGTTTATTTTTAACTAGAGAAAAATATGTGTTGTTTTCTATGCGATGACGCACCAGGCCATCTGCACCCGTGTTCAAAACTCTGGATCTGCCCACGCGTGTAGATGGGCTTTTGTAGAGACTGGGAATAAACTGGAGATGATCCCAGGATGTGGGGACCTGGTGCAGGTGGGCCCTGCCATAGGATGAATGCCCCGGGCAATCGCTATTTGGAGGGGCACGGGCACACCCGGCAGAGGGGTGATGGCAATGGGTGTGAAGTGAAATTACAGCTATACATATGATCCAGCATCATAATGGATAATCACTTTTTTTTCCTGATACAGGCAAACCCCAACTTAACGCTGTTTCGCTATAACGCTCCTTTTAACTCGATACCCGATTCCACTTGGCACTCAGTGAGTTTCGTTATAATAACGCTCGCCCTTGCCATCTGGGCTCCAAGAAGAGGGCCTGCTTCTCCCCTCCGCCTCCATGCAGCCTCGAGGGCTGCCCTGAGCGAGCACGTGGGTGGGCGTGGCCAGAGCCAGCGTCAATGGCAGGGAGGGGGAATGGCGCGCATGCGTAGCAGCTGCTCCGCGCGCCGCGCCTGCGCAGTCCGAGCGCCTCCTGCCTCGGAGGACTGACGTCAGTCCTCCCGGGAGGCGGGGCGGCGCGTTGCCTGCCGGGAAGCCGACGCCCAAGATGGCGGCAGGATTGAAAAGTTGTTGCCGCCGCTGAGCGCGGGGGAGGAGCGGGGCGGCCGGCGGTGGCTCCGGGATGCCCGGGGGCGCCGCGGCCCGACAT